CTGAGGCGGAAGGATCGCCGGAGCCCAGCAGGTCGAGGCTGCGGTGGCCAGGAGCGGCCACTGCACTCCAGTCTGGGCGACCGAGTGAGGACTCCAACTCAAAAAAAAAAACACAAAAAAACAAAAAAACCCCACTCAGATTGCCCTTGTTTTTGCCTCTGTGCTGGTTAGCATTTTCTACAATGAGCAGGTATTAATTATGTAAAAATATCAGCAAAACCCCACCAGTGCCTGAGAGGGTGGGAGGGCCCTGGCAGCAGAGGGTAATTTCTTGGTGGGCTCTAACTGTGGGCCAGGGGCTGAAACGGAGAGCAGCTTGGACCCAACCCCGACCCCATCCCAGGTTCCAGGCTCTGCCTTCCTTCCTGAAGCTTCCACTCCACCCTCCCTCCGCATGGGGATTGGGTCAGGTTCTTGCCTCTTCAGGGTCCCTCTCACAGAAATTTCCATGGACCACACTAGAAGCCCTGTCCAAAAAACTAGCCTGATATGCAAGTTAACAGTCATCAGAAAGCCATGGTCCCCAAAGCACAAAATGGCATTTTGCTGTAATCGTCAAGCTTTAATCATGTCCCTCTACTTCCTGGGTTTTAAAATTCACATCTTCGAATATTAATATTCCTGCATTAACAACCCCCAAATTCAGCATTTCATCTTTACTTACTTAAACGGAATTAATTTGTAACCAATTGTCTTCAAGTATGCAAGGCAATCTAAGTAAATGCCAAAAGATAAGAAATATGCTTATCCTGAATAACCAGCTGATGTAAAATATCGACCATATTTCTTTCTCAAACAACGGCAAGAAACAGAGTCCTTGTAACTCACTACCCTGGCCCAGGGCTCCTGAGCACAGATTCGACCTGTTTGGAAGGGAGCTGTCTCATGCCAGAAAGGGACCCCCATGAAGCCATGTAAACTTGATGGATGGGCGGCCCTCAGCTCAGGCCACCTGTCCCTCCAACCCCCGCCACCGGCTCCGACCATGCCTCTCCCATCATAGTCAGTCTCCCACTCTCAGGAAAATGTGCACTGACGTCTACCTCCTCGGGTGCTCACAACGATCTCTCATGTCTGACTCTGCTCCCAGCCTGTGGGACCCAAGGGCCCCAGGTGCCCACCACCCACAGGAAGAAGTCTCAAGTCCTCTTGCCTGCAGGGCTCGCCTTCTCATCTCAGTTTCCCCTTGCGCCCCAGCCTACAAACCAGCCCCCTGCCCGCCCTTGCCAGGACCTGGCCACAAGTGCCTGGCCCCACCCACAAGTGGGTGTATCCCAGGCTCTTGCCAGAGCCCACAGCAGGATCTGCTCCCTCCAAACTTTCTGTGGGACTTTCCTGGCTCCAGTCGGGCCTTACAATCTGGGTCAGACCCCAAACTCAGCACGATGTCCACAGACTGTCCCTTTTTGCTCCCTCTGCCCTACTGTGATCACACCGAGTCACATCCCTTGGTGAGCCAGAAGCCCCAGGCCACGGGGAGATCCCCTCAGCCTCTCAGGCCTTGTGTCTGTCTCCCACCCTCAGCCCATCTCTGCCTCCCTGTCCCCTACTGGCCCCAGCACTGTGGGACCCCGCACACGCCTGCTAATCCGGGGAGGCCGAGGAAAGTCTGAGACCGAGATTGGACCCAAGTGGGACAGACCCCGGGGCAGACAAACCAGGAGCTACACCTGGAGAGGTCACATGCTGACTGTCCAGCTGGAGCGGGGCCCAGAAGTCCAGGATGGGCAAATAGCCAAGGCCACAAGCTCCCTCCTCCCTGAAGGCTAAGGGATAAAGGGGGTCTGGCGTGACCGATCAGGACAAACCAAGAGGCCAAGCCTGAATTTCTGATAAAGCAGGAGGTTAGTCGGAGCCCCCAGATGGGAGGTGCTTCAAAGATTCTTCAAAGGGTCAAAAACTGCAACTCCAGGAATCAGGAGCTTCGTTAGAGCATGAGAGGTGGCTGGGGCTGGAAGCAGTTGAGTGCTGGAAAGTAGGACGACAGTGAGATTCATCTTGCTTGGGAAACAGACTATTATTATCCACAGCAAACAGCTGGAGACGCACCAGCAGGAAGGTGCAGGCAGCTGGTGAGCCGCAGTGGCCCTTGAGGACAAGGTCTCTGCCCAGCTCAGCACCGAGGTGTTGGCAGCCTGGGTGGGCGGGAGGCAGCGGGATGCACTGCACCTGGACCCCAGGAATGAGGACAAGACTTTATCCAGGGAAGGGACTGAGGAGCAGCTGGAGGCAGAGGCCGGGCCCCAGGCCAGTGGCCACCAGGGTTAGGAGCACCTGGCTGAAGGCTCTTGCCACATTGAAGCAACCCCTGGAGTGAGGCCCAGAGGGAAGAGACATGGAAGGGACAAGGTCTCTAGAGGACAGGGAGGAAAGGGAGTACCACAAGCAGGCCAGAGAGACAGGTGCGAGGGCTCTCATCTGCAGCATGAGGTCCAAGAGTCCTGTCAAATCCAGCCCTTCTGGGGAGGATCTGACTCAGGAAGGATGGCCATGAAACTGGGTTACATTCCTCTCTTTCCCTAATTGTAAAGAGACTCCAGGTCAAACCTCAGTCAACAGCCCGACACGTGGGTGTGGAGGCGAATCCACCAGCACCTGGCATGGGGAGTCTTTCAGCTCAGCTCACCAGCTGAGGGATTTGGGGAGCACCCCACAGTCAGTCCCCATCTGGACTGGTTCAGGAGTTGGAGAGGCATCAGCCCTGTGCTTGGGGGGATTCCGGAGTTCCCCGAAGGGTCTCCAAATGCTCACTGGATAGGGGTAGCGCTCTGCAGAGCACCGTCTCCTCTAGACTCCTGGCAGGAGCCAAGGAGACTCAAGGGAGCAACAGGGGCTGGGGCTGGAGTCTGCTTCCTGGAGGCAGAAGTCGGAATTCACAGCAGGGAATCCTCTCAAGGGGGTGTGACGAGGCCTCTGCTTCCTGCCACCCACGGGCAGGGACAACATCCCTGGCACAGCCCAGGACCCCACTTGCCTCTCTTGGGGAAACCTTGCAGAGCACCCAGCAGAGCTCTGCTTCAAAGGCCACACCCTGAGCTCCCCCCTGGAACCATGCCTGCCACATATCCACCAGACGTGAGCGGGGGTCTCAGCAGTCTCTGGAGCAGTGACCTCTGGAGGGGCAAGCAAAGGCCTCACAGCCAAGAAGCCCTAAGGCTCACTGACATCCAGAAATCGTATAATCGGCAATCCTGGAGTACACCTGGCCCACACATGGGGAGGCCCGGAGGGGCAGCGAGATTTGTCTGGAGTTTGCTGTGGGCAATCATTCACTGAGCACCAGCTGTGTGCCAAGCCCTGGGTAAATGTGATCTCCTTTAGTGCCCGCAACAAGCTCAAACAGCACCACGTTACGTTACACATGCCCCAGCAGGAGGGTGCTGCTTTCCCTGGTCACAGAGCTGGTCAGTGAGACTGCCACCAAGGCTCCCTCCTCCTGGCTCAGGGCCCTCCCCACAAGGCAGACACCCAAGCCAAGGCCATAAGACATTCTGTGGTGTAGTCGAGGAAGGTGAGCATGGCACTGGAGCACCAGGACCTAGCAGGGCTGGCAGAACATGGGAGCGCCAGCCCAGGACAGCGGCTGGGGACAGATAATAGCTCTCCAGCATTCCAACGAGGGCACCCATCACTGCCGGGCGTGGGAGGCAGGGCCGCTTTGGGCAAAACTCCCAAGAGGGTGTGGACATTTGTGCAGCAAAAAGAAGCAAACTTGATACCCACTCCCCCTGCCCCACCACTCTTAGCATAGAAAGAAGTGATACATATTTATGAGCTCATAATCCTTCCTAATCACCCCTATATCACACATACACACAGATTCCAGCGGCTCGGGCTCATGCATAATTATAAGGCACGTCCGCTGTGCCTGCCTTGGTCCAAAGGACAAGAGGACACAGGGGCTGCAGAGCATGTGTGGTGGGGAGGAGGCTGCGGATCCAGGTCTAGGAGCTTGGGTCAGGATCTGCCACCATTCAAGCTCAGCAGCCTCAAGTGGCAGGAGCCTTGTCTGCTGAGGAATCAGTCCAGCAAGGCAGGCCCACAGACCCCCAGGCCAGTCACCAGCCAGCCCAAGGACACATCCACAGCTGGCAGGAGGCTTGGTCCGGGGGTCACGGGTGAGGGGTGACAAGCAGGAGGGTGCTGCTTTCCCTGGACTGCCCCCATGCCTGGAGAGGATGAGGAAGGGGAACCCCTTCCCAAGCAGGGTTTGGAGGCTCAGCCTGGAGCTCAGCTGGGAGTGAGGGCAGGTAAGGGGGACCGACCTGGGACTGGAACAGCACGGGACCTGGGTGAATTGGTGAGAGTCAGGCTGGAAGAGGTTGGTAGCCAGGACTAGGGGGAGGGGGCTGTAAGGTGAAGGGTGTCACAAGCAGATCTCCAGGGAGAAAACAGTCACCCTTGCCCCTGTGTGGCGACCAGGGCTCCCAAGCACTTTCCCTATGGAGCAAACAGAGAAGGGGACCCCCCCGGAAAGAAAACGTCGAGATGATTTCAGGCAAATTATTTTTCTAAACCTTTCCCCAAAATGCCCAAGCTCCTATTTAGAATTCTCCTGTTTGCGTATCTCATGTCTCATTGGTAGACCGGGAAAAACCTGCAGGCGAAGGTGGAGAGTCCCCAGGGCCCAGGACTCACTGGCTGATGCCCTCGAAGGAGGCCTCCCTGCAGACATTGCCGCTGTCCGTGTTGACACCGCGCTGCGGAGAGAGAGGGAGCGTGAGAACCCACAGCCTGCACCAGAGGCCCCGCCCACCAGCCAGGCTCAGGGCCCTCCACCCTAGTCTGGCAAGCCACCCCCTCCTACTCTTCCCTGACAAAAGAGCCACCCATCCAGGTAACTCCATGCTGGGTCCCAACACAAGGGGAGGCCTCCTTTCTCTGCTGCAGCTTGCCAAGTAGAGAAAGCAGGGCCCACAAACCCTGCAGCATCCCAGGTGCACAATAAGGCCCCCTCTGGACTGGCCAGAGCACTTTGCAGACACCAGCCAGACTGCTCAGGCACAGGTTGGGGCTGGGTGAGACGAGCATGGACCTGGGACCACCCCCACCACAGATATGCTCCGCCCAGGCTGGCCAGACCTCATCTCTCTTTTTGGGGGC